GTCATTAAATGTAGACCGGGCCTTAGATTTTGTTACTGATGTTCCTGTCATTTTGACGTTTTGGAGGTTTTAAAATGTCAAATTTGACGTTAAAGCCTGCTTTAGAGTGAATTTTTAGAAAATGTCAAAAAATTGTGGTGATGATTTAAGTAGAATTGAAACGAGTTTCTCTTAACTTTTTTATTATCTCTTAAGGATTTTTTTTTATTGCACATACTTTTTAAGTCAGTCATATGTCAAAAATAATGTCATTGTGACAAGATTATGACAGCATTACATTTTTTTTGGAAAATATTGATTTTTTCATTTCTAATGTTAAAAATTGCAATTTTTAGATGTAAAAAAACTCTATTTTTATTATTAGATGCTTTATTTTTTCTCAAAAATTAAAAATACTCTAGTTAGTCATATGTCAAAAATACTGTCATTGTGACAAGATTTTGACAGCATTCCAATTGCAATACATACTTGATTTTTGTTAGGTTTATGAATTAATAAATAATAAATATAGTTAAAAATGTTTTTTTTTTACAAACAACAAAATTTTATTTATGTCGCAATCAGTCAGCAAGGTCATTAAATGTAAAACGGGCCTTAGTTTTTGTCCCTGATGTTCCTGTCATTTTGACGTTTTGGAGGTTTGAAAATGTTAAATTTGACGTTAAAGCTTGCTTTAGACTTCATTTGCAGATTTTACCTTTTTTATGATGAATAAAGAATCTGAAAGAGTTTCTCACTTATTTTTTTTATTATCTCTAAGAATTTTTGTTCATTGCACACTGATTTTTTACCAATAAATCAGTGTTATCAACTATTTTTTTTTGTCACCACGATTAGAATGATCCGATTTTATTACAAAATACTTTTTAAGTAGTCATATGACAAAAATAATGTCATTGTGACAAGATTTTGACAGCATTACACACAATATTTTGATGAAATAATTAAAATCTGAAAARATTTGAGGAGGAAATAACAGAAAAATATTTTAGTTGGTTAAACAGTTTTCTTTTCTAATGTTAAAATTGCAATTTTTAGTTATAAAAAGTGTTTAATGTTTTCGAGAGATAAAAACACAAAAAGTTCGAAATATTGCATTGAAATAGATTAAAAAATTACAAAATTAAAACGAAATTGATATCATTTTGTAAAAGCTTGTTTTACTTCATTTATTTTGCAAAATCTTATCCAAACACGCACAAAGAATCACAAAAAGGATTGATATTGATCTTATTTTGTTTATTTCACTCGATTTTTGAGCAAAATTAAGACAAAATAAGCTGAGAAACCACAAAATTTGACCGAAAATGCTTTTAAGCACTTTTTTGTACTAAAATTTTGTTGGGAACAAGTCGAAAAATCATAGAATTAACCCGAAATGTTTTGCTTTTTTCAAGAGTTTAATTTCACTAGATCTGGTGATACTCGTGTTAGTCTGGTGAAAAAAAATTCTAATATCTGGTAATTTTTTGGAAATGAAAAAAATTGTTTTTCGAGCTGAAAATTGATTGTTTCGTCAATTTTTTTCAAAAAAGTCTGTCAAATTGGCTAAAAATAGTTCTATTTGCTTTTAACAAGATTTTAGTTGGCTAAATAGTTTTTTCTAATTTTAGTTATAAAAAGCTCTTTATTTTTATTATTATTTATTCTCAAGAAATTAAAAGTTGAATTTGTGTCTGTCTTATTACAAAATTTTATAAATTTTGAAAAATTTATAACCTCCAGATAAATAGTTTGAAGTGAAAAAGTTTGTTTTTTATATATTTCTTTCAAGATCTCGGTTTGTCTTAACAGAAATTGTGCAATTGGGCCCCCGAAGGGCTTTTCGTAGAAGGAGCCACCTGGCCCCTTTCTCAATCTAGTTTAATTTTCTCGCAAAAGCGTTGCATTTATTTAGTGAATAGAGAAGAGAGTCTTTCTGATCCTTGCATTGTATTCGAAATCAGGCAAGGGGGCATTGTTGCAGTTTTACCTGCAGTGCGGGTGTTTGGAACGCGGAACAACAAACACAATACCGAGTGTCTCCATGACCGGTTAGTTACCCGACGCGACGAATTTTGTAACCGGTAATAAAGCTATTTCATTTCACCGCCGATAAAAGTTTTAATTTGTGAGATCGGGAGCTCTGCTGTTTGTTGCCCCCCGAAACTGGATCCGCCAACTGCCTTGCTTTGCTTCTTGTTTCTTTCTTCATTCGTCGTTGCTCTTGCCTTTCACATTCCATTGCGAGTACCTAACGGATTTTCGACCGAAAATGCGGTTCTTCTGTCTGACACAACCTGTCGATACCACATATCATCGAAATTCGGTTATAAACTCAATTGGGGATTTTTTTCGATTCAGTTGGCAAACAATCTGCACTATTATTCACTTTATTTGTGAGGCATTTTTTGTTTCTGAATTGTCAAAAATTTGACAGCATTTTTACATACTTAAAAAGATTTTTTCCCAAATAACACAATTTCATCAAAAAATGTGAAATTAAATTTAATCTAAAACGGCCTTTAGAACTTGTTCACTGATGTTCCTGTCATTTTGACGTTTTGGAGGTTTTAAAATGTCAAATTTGACGTTAATTTTCAGAAAATGTCAAAAATTCCCTTTTTTGTGAAACGAGTTTCTCACTTAATTTTTTTATTATCTCTAAGATTTTTTTTTCATTGCACACTGTTACTGATAGTACCTGTTACCAATAAATCAGTGTTACCAATTATATATTTTTTTTTGAAAATTTTGATTTTTTCATTTCTCAATCTTGAAATTTGACTGTTTCAGAATTTTTTAATTAAAATCTGAAAACATTTGAGAAAATAACAGTAAATTATTTTAGTTGGCCAACATTTTTTTTCTAATGTTAAAAATTGCAATTTTTATATGTAAAAAGCTCTCTTCATTATTACTTAATTTTTTCTCAAAAATTAAAAATAATTAAGTCAGTCACATGTCAAAAATAATGTCATTGTGACAAGATTTTGACAGCATTTTTACATACTTTTTTCCCAAATATCACAATTTTCAAAAATTTAAAAAAATGTGACATCACGGTCATTAAATTTGATGTAAAACGGTCTTTAGAATTTGTTCACTGATCTTCCTGTCATTTTGACGTTTTAAAGGTTTGAAAATGTCAAATTTGACGTTAAAGTCTGCTTTAGAGTTAATTTTCAGAAAATGTCAAAAATTCCCTTCTTGGTTAAACGAGTTTCTCACTTAATTTTTTTATTATCTCTAAGAATTTTTTTTTTTCGTTGCACACTTTTACTGATAGTACCTGTTACCAATAAATCAGTGTTACCAATTATATTATTTTTTTTTGAAAATTTTGATTTTTTCATCTCAATCTTGAAATTTCACTCTTTCAGAATTTTTTAATTAAAATTTGAAAACATTTGAGAAAATAACAGAAAACTATTTCAGTTTTTTTTCTAATGTTAAAAATTGCAATTTTTATATGTAAAAAGCTCTCTTCATTATTACTTCATTTTTTCTCAAAAATTAAAAATAATTAAGTCAGTCACATGTCAAAAATAATGTCATTGTGACAAGATTTTGACAACATTACATTTGCAATACCTACTTGATTTTTGCATTTGCTTTTTAATAAAAATAATTAAAAAAATAAAAGTATTTTATTTCCAAACAACAAAGCTTTATTTATGTCAGAATCAATCAGTCAAAAATATGACAGCGAGGTCATTAAATGTAAACCGGGCCTTAGATTTTGTCACTGATCTTCATTTTGACGTTTTAGATGTTTTAAAGTGTCAAATTTGACGTTAAAGCTTGCTTTAGAGTACATTTTTTATTTTTTTTATCATTGCACACTTTTAAGAGTTTTATGTCACGTTTTAACTGTGATGGTATCTATTATCAATAATTCAGTGTTACCAATATATATTTTTTTGTTACAATTATTTAGAATGACCCGATTTTTTTTACAAAAAGATTAATTTTTAAGTTAATCATCTGTCAAAAATAATGTCATTGTGACAAGATTTTGACAGCATTAAATTTTCAGGACATACTTGATTTTTGTTAGATTTATGCATTTGCTTCGAAATAGTTAATTTTTTTTTCCAACAAAAATTTATTTATGTCGGAATTAATCAGTCAAAAAATATCACAGCGAGATCAATCAATGTAAACCGGGCCTTAGATTTTGTCACTAATGTTTCTGTCATTTTGACGTTTTAGATGTTTTAAAATGTCAAATTTGACGTTAAAGCTTGCTTTAGAGTAAATTTTTGATGTCCTTTTTTTCGATGATGATTTCACACGTCCAAGAATTTGAAACGAGTTTCACACTTAATTTTTTTTTATTATCTCTGATTTTTTTTATCATTGCACACTTATCAATAACTCAGTGTTACCAATATATATTTTTTATTACAATTATTTAGAAGGACCCGATTTTATTACAAAAAAAGATGAATTTTTAAGTTGAATCATCTGTCAAAAATAATGTCATTGTGCCAAGATTTTGACAGCATTAAATTGGCAGTAAATTCTTGACTTTTGTTAGTTTTATGCATTTGCTTCCTCATAAATAAACAACAATTTTTTTTTATCTCGGAATCAAAAAATACAGTCAAGGTCATTAAATGTAAAACGACCCTTAGATCTTGTCACTTTGACGTTAAAGCCTGCTTTAGAGTGAATTTTAGAGGAAATAAATGTCAAAAAAAAAATTCTCACTTAATTTTTTATCACTTCTAAGATATTTTATCATTGCACTTGAGAGTTTTTATCAAGCCACTGAATTTTGATAAGACTTCGTCGAAAAATTTAACCGGATGCAACAATAATTATCTAATACATAATAAATTGGAATCTTATCAAATCGAGACAATAAATATTTTTCCGCCTCAAAGCCACCACGCCTTGTCACTTCCACGTGTTGTCCGATGACGTAACCCCACTCGGGGGGCCCCCTTCGGCCTCTCGAGTCAATAAACTCTCCATGACGCAGCCATTTCACTCATCGCCAAATTCTATTCCAGAAGAAGAAGAGATCGACGTGGTATCCCTCGAGAAGAAGCCCCCCGTTGGGGCCCTCCCCACCAACCCCTCGACGAAAGACCGTCGCCAGATCCAGCGCACGATGCAGAGTCGCTTCCCCCAAGGCCTCAAAACCATCATGCCGGTGCGACAGCAGCCCCCCAAGAAAGCCCCCCGACGAGTCAAGCAAAGTCGCCAATACAAACGCCGATTGAACTACAGCAGCGACAGCGAACCGGAACCGTCAGAAAAGCGCCATTTGCACAACAACATGGAAAGACAGCGACGCATCGACTTGCGAAATCTCTTCAACGATTTGAAGAAATTAATCCCGGATATTAGCAAAAAACAGAGGGCGGCGAAAGTGTTGATACTCCGGGGGGCTGCCCAGTACTGCCAGGACCTGCAAAGCACCCATGAGGCGCTCGCACGCCGGACGGAGGCTCTGAGACAGCAACAGGCCCGATATAGGGCTCATTTGGCCAAGTTGCGACGCGATTGCGCCGCCAAACGCTAACTTATTCGAATAGGTAATAACTGTGATTATCAACGTTGTTTTGTTTATTAAGAGGGGGCTTGTGCCCCCACATAGGGGTAGGATTTGTGCTTGTTATTGATTAGGAGGAAATACCATTCATTTTGCAATTATTTTTTCCAGTTTGTGATAAAATGCTCTATTGTATGTAAGAATTTCAGTTGTTTTCGAGCACAATCACAACAAATTGCTCCTTGTACATACTTTTTTATTTTTAACGGTTTTTTTTATGTATATTATGTTATGTCGAGGATTGGGAAAAATCCCCAAGTTGTGTATAGTTTTGAGGACAATATTTTGTTTTTGTTTTATGATGAGCTCACTAGATTTGTTTCTTCAGTGCCTTCAATAGTGAGGTTAGGTTCGGTTTACGCGCTACATGTTTTGTGATAGTAGATCGTAAGTTTGTTTAGTTTCATGTGGGCTCATTGTGTGTATGTGTTTGTTACATATTGTCCATTTTAGTCTTCCTGAGTCGTAAGATCAAGAGAATTGTTGTGTTCATGATTTTACTACAGTATTTTATACTTTTGATAAAACAAAATTAAACACAAAAAAATGAAGCAAAAAAAAAGAAAACACAAAAAAAATCGGTTTTTACCAAGTACCTGTGATGTAAACCTCGCTGTTGACCAAATATATATTTTAAAAGTGTCACAAGACACCGAGTTTTTTTCTTTCAGTGTGACACAGGGCAATTCTCTAACTTATGACCCTTTTGTGGTGACGCAAATGTTTACAAGTAATAACCACATTACTTTTAATTTCGTTATTTGTACTTATAAATAACTACTTGTAATCATTGGTTGTAATAATTAGTCTTATAGTTTTTATCAGTGGTGCCAACCACCACTATTCTAGTTCCTTTAAGTTACGAATTACATTGCTTTATAAAAAAAAAACTCATTTATTTCAATTTCAACAACCTTTTCCTGTGACGATTTGACCCCAAATGCTCCTTCCACTGAACCTCACCAACGAAAATTCGATCACAAACATCACAAAAATGAGTGTTGTCCAAGGAGTTAGGCACCGAGGTCGCAACAGGTTCCATAGGAAGTGGCAAGTGGTTACACTCACTCCCATTTATAAAACTCTGGATTATTTCGATCGCAGGCTGAGTGACTTTCTCCTCCCATTTACTCAAGTCGCTCACGTCTAAACCGTACATAGGGGGCACCTAAATCAAGTCGCAACTAAACATTGCTTCCATCTTAATTAATTTAGTTGCCAAGTAACGGTTACTGTTACTTAGCAACTATAACACTCTCTACCCTGTTTTAATTTAGTTGCTAGGCAACAGTAACTGTTACTTAGCAACACAACTGTCATTTACTTCTCTATCGCGTCGTCCGAGAAACCGATTTCTTGTCCATTTGTTTTGTTTTTTGGCGTATCTTCTCGTCACTAGTTTCAATTGTTCTATACATTTGGCCAACTCTTGGTGGCCTTTTTCGGTGTTTTTTTCGTCTTCGGGCAATGTGAGGTATGAATGAAACTCTTTGAAACCAATAGATTGGAAAACACCTTTCGTATAGTCTGGAATTCTATCGAATTGTTTGTAAAAAAAAAATTTTTCAAGTGCACTAGTTATACTCGGAATTTTTTATGCGACTTTCGTTGTATTGTTTATGGAAGTTGGCCAATTCGTGTAGGAGGCCGTCTTCTATCATTTTATCGACTCGTTGGTTCAATCTTTGGTCGAGTATTTCCTAAAATGATTAAAAATTTGGCTTAATGGCAATTATTAAACTTTTTTTTCGTATTAATTGTGTATCAAGTAGGTTGTAGAAGTCTAAATGCATCTTTAATTTAAAGGTGGATTCACACAAGAAGTGTCATTTAAAAATTCAATCACATTTTAATTGTCAATTACGTTGTTGATTTTAATTATTTTTTGCTACTTGAAAAAATAATTTTTAGGGAAGATTGAGGTTAGGGTTGTTTGAATTTTCGCATGGTTGCCACCTTAAAATGGTCAACGACTACTTCGATGCACATTAATAACTAGTATTTTTTTTTACTTTTTCGCAGTCTAGTTTGAGGATCACGGCGTTAGGGAATCTCAGAGGGCCCCCTGTGGCCGAGGCCCCTTCGGCGCTCCGTTGCTCGTCTAGAATCCGGCTGTGTTGTTTGCCCTTCTGGTGTAAAACTTCCAAAGACCTTAAAATCTTGCGTTTGTTGTTGGGGTGGAGTCTCCGGGCCATTTCGGGGTCGAGAAGTTTCAGTTTTTTGTGCAATTCCTCGCTGGGTAATTCATGGTCGAGATATCGAGATGGGGGCGCTTTTACATGGTCTCCGGGTTCTTCAATTAAAATTTTCCACAAGAGGGACTCTATATAATAATTAGTTCCACCAACGATGATGGGTAATTTATTTCGCTTTATTAAATTATCAATCTGAATAAAATTTAAGGAATTTTTGGGGGGCAAAAACAGGGCATTCTTGGTTTTATGGGCTGATTCATTTAATCAATTTTCAAATGCTTCATGAATAAAACACAGGAAATAGACGCAACAGCTGAAATCGTAAGTAGGACCCCAAGTTTATTTTATAGTAATTTTATCTACAAGGTCACTAATTTCAGTTTCAGCCTTGATTGTAATAGAGTCCACGTGCCCACGTGGAAATGGAAGTGACGAAATAACTAAGCGTGTTAAAATTTCCTAAATACGAAGGATACAATTTTCAAAGCGCTATTTCGGTACTCCACTACGGTGAAACTCTCATGGGGCTCCAGAATATCAATAAGATGGTGTAGGGCCACACTTTGTTCTTCTTTCGTAGCTTTCGCTGTTATAATATCGAGACCTTTGTACACCTACATGATTTTTTTTCGATTAATTAACAAGACGTTGAACTTGAACTGTGTAAACATTTTCAGACATTCAATAAAGTCATAATTTAAGCGATGATTTATTGGTTTGACCTTTGTTCGGAACTTCTTGGGTACAGGTGTTAATTTTGTGTCAGGATAATCACTCTAACTCAGTTTTAAAACAATTTGGTGGCCTTGAACGTGACACAATGACCGAGCAAGGCCATCGGCTTTGTTTACATACAGTTTACGCCAATTTAACAATCGTCATGCTTAATACAAACGAAATATTCTTAAAAAAAAAACTCCAGAAATTTGAAAAAATAAGCGACCTTGACATGTTATGCAACACATTATACACATGACGTGACTTGGTTGTCTAACAACAACCAAATTATTAATTATTTTTTTATTAGTCTTAATTGGTAATTAATTAATAATCTGCATTTAAAATGAATTAAATTAAAACAATAAGTGATTTTTGACATACTTATGCAACACATTATACACGTGATGTAACTTGGTTGCCTACCACGTAGAATTATTTTTTAGTTAATTTTTGTTAAAACATGCAATTAAAATAATTAAATGACTAGTGACTTAAATACCTGCATTGAGTCTGCACTTATTATCTCTCCTTTGAATTTCCGGGCTAATTCGAGGGACAACTTAGTTTTTCCCGAACCAGTAGCCCCCAAAATAACAACTAATGGTAACCTGAGAGCCATTTTCAGTTCTCAATCAATTTTTTACGGTTAATTTCAGCCTGAAATTGAATTGTTTCGATTAATTAACTTTTTTGTAACACGTGTTTTTTTACTAGTTTATGAATAATTCTCACTTGATACTATTTCAACTAATAATAAATTATGACATAAATACCTGATATTAAAATTAATAAATTTTATTTTTTTTCGAGTTTTAACCCTCGTGTTTTCACTTTTTGTCTAAACTAACCTCAAAACAAACTGTCAGCTGATTGTACACTACACGTCGCTTTAATGACGTCTAAATTTTCATTCCAATTAATTAATATAATAAAACATAGAATTCCAAATTAATAATAATTGTGTTGTATCGAGTTCAAATAAGGTATTTCAAGTGTAGTTGATTTTTTAATGGGAAAGTTAAGTGAAATTGTGTTATTGCTAGTACATTTATTCTGCCCTACACTGTACAAACGTCAAACGTCACTAAATGTGAGGTTAAGTGACAGGTTTTGTTGTTGAAAGTTCCGCTTATTTTTTTGGAAAAATGCCGGATTTTCTGGCCGAAAACAACACCTGTGGCCAGACAATCCTCCAGCTGGTTTCCCGCGGCAATGCCATCATTGCCGAACTTCTCCGTTTGAAGGACTACATCCCCCAAACTTACAGGTTTGTAAAAGCGCCAAAATTGGTGTTTTTTCACAATTTAAAGCCTTGTAGATTGGGTACAAAGGAAGAGATCCAAAAGTACGGCGAAATAATCATGGATTTTAGTTATTTCAAGATCGAAGAAGCGCAAAATTACAAAATTGAGACTTCGGAGGTAAGACGTTTGTGGTCAGTGAAACTAAATAAATGTGTAGCAATTGCAAGATTTGGACGAAGAGTTTCGTGACAATCACATCGAGATGATTAATCGGTTTTATCTCACATTTGAGAGCATCCACACTTATATCACCGATTTGAACCACTTTCTCGACGAATTGGAGGAGGGGTTGTACATCCATCAGAGTCTCGAGACGATTTTCGCCGACATGGAGGGAAAACAACTCCTTGTAAGTGATTTTTCGAATTTCGATTTTTGCACATCTAATGTACAGTTTCCTGTAGTAGATTCTCGGTCGGTATTACAGGAAACTATTAATTACAACACTTGAAAATTGTTTAATTCCAGTGTGAAGCTTTATTTCTCTACGGTTTGATGCTACTAATCATTGACACGTACATTGAGGGCCCCATTCGTGAGAGACTCCTAGTGTCTTACTATCGCTACACCCCACAAAGGAGCGACACTCAAAGCCAAATCGACGATGTTTGTCGCTTATTGCGCGACACGGGGCTCAACACCCCCAAAAAACCCAATAATTATCCTGAGGATTATTTCCGGTAATTTGACAGTTTTAGTGGGGCGCTTTAAAAAAAAAATAATACTTTTAGACGTGTCCCTCTCAAGCCCAAATTCGTGGACATTGTGATTGGTCATTTGCGCTCCGACGACATCTACGGGCAATTGTCGGTGTACCCCCTTCCGAAGCACCGGAGCACCGCCCTCGCCCATCAAGCCTCAATGCTCTACGTTTGTCTTTTTTTCTCACCCAATATTTTGCACTCTCAAACGGCCATAATGCGRGAGATTGTTGATAAATATTTCCCTGATAATTGGGTCATTTCCATTTACATGGGTTTCATTGTGAATTTAGGTGAGAGTTGGGAGTGTTTCAAGGCGGCTAAAATGGCCCTTAATAACACCCTTGAAACTGTCAATATCAAATCCTACGCTAATTCGTACGGTAGTAGCATTTCGCCCCTCCTCAAAGCCACCAATTTGAAACTAAAAGAAGGCAACATCACCAGTGATAACCTCCTCAAAGACGTCAACAACATAATCAACCTTTTGAGGGATTGTAACTTTACAATTCGGTGGTTGATGTTACACACAATCCTCAAACCGGGCAAGAGTGACAAAACCAAGAAATTGAAACAATTGAGAGAATTGGTTATAACCGAATCGCGGTTAGAGTCAGTCCAACTGTTCAAATTGCTCCTCAATACGTCACAATTAGAGTTAACCACGCGTGAAATTTACAAGAAATTGTTGCATGAAAAAGACACTCAATGGTCAGAGCTGAAAACTGAAAGTTTCAAGAGTTTAATTGYGTTGAGTGAGGTTTTCAGTGGGACYAAACCGTTGACTCGAATACCGAAAAATTCAAATTTGCAAAATTGGTTTTTAGAAATTTCCAAYCAAGTCGATTCTTTGAGTTCTGGTGATGTGGCCTCGTCGCGAAAAATCGTCCAATTGATTCAGGCTTTAGAGGAGGTGCAAGAGTTTCACCAACTCGAGTCAAACATGCAAGTGGTGCAATTCCTCTCCGAAACTCGSAAATTCTTGCATCAAATGATCCGAAATATGAATATAAAAGAGGATGTCTTGATTACGTTGCAAATAATCGGTGATTTGAGCTACGCATGGGAATTGATCGATTGTTTCACACCAATCATGCAATTCGGGATTAAAAAAGAGCCAACTTTGGTGATCAAACTCCGGGCGATTTTTCTCAAACTCTCTTCGGCACTTGAAGTCCCCCTTTTGCGCATAAATCAAGCCCACAGTGAGGATCTCATCTCAGTCTCGCAATATTACAGCAGCGAACTCGAGATTTATGTAAGAAAAGTCTTGCAAATAATCCCGAAAATGATGTTTGAGAAAATGGCTCGTGTTATTGAGATACAGACTTGCATTTTGAAAGAATTACCAACGAGACTTGATAAGGATAAATTGAAGGATTTTGCACAATTAAATGAACGTTTCGAGTTTGCTGAATTGACACATTCAATTTCGGTGTTTAGTCAAGGTATGAGAATGATGAAAAGTACATTAGTTGGAGTGATTTGTCTCGATCCCAAAAAACTACTTGAAGATGGGATACGGAAGGAGTTGGTGTTGTACATCTCGAAGGCGTTGCATACTGGACTGATTTTCGGGCAAAAGGCTAAAGTGGAGGAGTTGGAGGGTAAGCTGGAGGCTGTGGGGGTCATCATG